TGTGACTGTGCCGTTTTCTGGTGCCGGAGGTGCACCGGTACCATTGAGAGTACGCTGGCCCTTCTCCATGGCGCCTTGATTTGCCGCATCCTTCGCCTTCTTTTCCTTGAATTGTTTGTAGGTCGTGGTCTTAGGGATCACGTCGGAAAGGAACTCGAGATTGTCGGTGTGTGATACCGCCGAAGCTATTGCAGGTTAGCGTGCTGTTTGACCTCTTGCCAACTATAGACATGATAGGTATAACCAACCGAGATCTTTGTACTGGACGGTCTTGCGTGGTTTTCGCTCAGATTTGACCACGTTATGTCCTTGCTCAGCAAGGTATTGGATGAACATTTCCTAAATCTAGTATCAGCCGGTGTGCGAGTCATCGAGGTAGAGGGTTTGGCGTACGGTAGCCATTGCGATAACGAAGGTTGCGTTGTTCGAACATTGTACGATATCCTCGTCCAACTGGATAATCTTCTTGATTCGAGCAACTATAGAAACATGTTAGTATGCCACTCCAAAGTAATAGTAATGTCTGGGACTTACTCGGAAGTGCACTCTGTCCGGTGATCTCATCCGGCTCTCCCACGGTCTTTGGAGCCATGGTGTTCAATTCTGGTGGGATAAAGTATTGGCCGAACAGAAATATACAATTTGCAGCCTGGGATAGTCAAATATACCCGTTGTAGATGTAAATGGGCGCGAGCGTGGAGTCGAGGAAGAGTAAAACGCGTGGCCGCGTTATCTCAGGAGGCTCCCCGTTATCGATCCATGGATACTTGGCGACTTCGCTTTGTCACATCATCTACTTTTAAGACCCCTATTCACCTCTTCTGAATTGTCGCTCATAGAGGTGTTGAACAGAAGCACCCCAGGGAGATCTGATTTCAAATCCAGCGAGTTTGTCCTCTCGCAGCGAATTGCGACGTCCATCGCGGACACAAGAACATATCATCGAGTCAACCTTAAATTGACTATGCTGACCCTACCTCCTCGATCAATGTTATGACCTCTCCACACCTCTCCCCGGCCTTTGATAGGCCCCTTTCAGTTTCGCGAGAGCGACGCAGCTCGCGACTACCATCTGGTCGTTCTATTCCTTCCTCCATCGACCCACAGACCGATTCCGACAACCAAGAAGCACCCGCCATTTCAGAAGAGGTCAGTGGGATCAAGCGCTATGAAGATTTTACCACAATAGACTGGGTTCAAGATGCTGTCTATGAACAGTCACGGCGGCGCGCGAAACGGCGCAGTGGCACTGGATTCTGGGATCAGGAAGGCATCTTTGGCTGGAGACGGAAAATGTACGAGTCATACGATGCAGGCCAGGCATGGCTTGTTGTTACGCTTGTGGGAATGGCAATTGGATTAAACTCGGCTGTGCTCAATATCATCACGGAATGGCTCTCTGATATTAAGCTGGGCCATTGTACCACCGCATTCTATCTCAACGAGTCTTTCTGCTGCTGGGGCGCCGAAAATGGTATGTTCAGTAGGTTGTAATATGAGATCCTATTAAACTAACCTTTTTCCATGATAGGCTGCCCCGAGTGGAAACATTGGACTTCATTTTGGCTGTTAAATTATGTTTTCTATTTCTTTGGCGCGGTAAGACTTTTGACCGACTAATACCTGAGAAAGTATGAATCCATAGGCTAATTTACAGATAGTTGCTACTTTCATCCATCGCCGCAGTCCTGGTCAAATCATTTGCGCCGTACGCCTCAGGCTCTGGTATCTCAGAGATCAAATGCATTATTGCTGGCTTCGTCATGAAGGGCTTCCTAGGTGCCTGGACTCTTCTAATTAAGTCAATTGCCCTTCCACTGGCCATTGCTTCGGGCTTGTCTGTTGGTAAAGAGGGGCCTAGTGTGCATTTTGCTGTGTGTACCGGAAACGTGATCTCACGATTCTTTGGTAAATACAAACAAAATGCATCGAAGACGAGAGAAATCCTGACTGCCTCAGCGGCAGCTGGTGTGGCTGTCGCTTTTGGCAGTCCAATTGGAGGCGTGCTGTTCTCTCTGGAGGTGAGTTCAATGGCGCGCTACCTGATAAGATGAAAGCTGACAGTCATTAGGAAATGGCAAACTATTTCCCACTTAAGACTCTTTGGCGCAGTTATTTTTGTGCCTTGGTGGCAACTAGTGTGCTGGCGGTACGTTCCTCATATTGTCAATTGATTCTGGACCTTACCTGACCCATTATAGGCTGTCAATCCTTTCCGGACTGGTCAGTTGGTCATGTTTCAAGTGGAGTATGATCGCACATGGCACTTTTTCGAGTTCATCTTCTTTATTGTCCTTGGTGTCTTCGGTGGACTTTACGGCGCATTCGTAATGAAATGGAATCTTCGAGTGGCCGCCTTCCGCAAGAAATACCTTTCACAGTGGCCTATAACCGAGTCGGTTGTCCTCGCGGGGCTCACTGCGATACTGTGCTACCCCAACATGTTTTTGAAGATCAACATGACCGCAATGATGGAGATCTTATTCCGCGAATGCGAAGGTGGCCATGACTATCAAGGGCTATGCGAGTACGAATTATACCCCTTCATATGCATGTGAGGACACTACTAACTCATTGCAGATCCAAGAACCGATGGTCGATGGTCTTCTCACTAGCTATTGCAACTGTTCTTCGCACTGGCTTGGTAATTATTTCCTACGGCTGCAAGGTGCCAGCCGGTATCTTTGTGCCTTCGATGGCCGTTGGGGCTTCATTTGGCCGTATGGTTGGCATTATGGTACAGGCATTACATGAATCATTTCCGCAATCGGCATTCTTTGCTTCGTGTGATCCAGATGTTCCTTGCATTACACCGGGAACATATGCGTTCCTGGGAGCTGGGGCAGCCCTTAGTGGAATCATGCATCTGACCATCTCTGTAACGGTCATCATGTTCGAGCTGACTGGCGCACTAACCTACATTCTACCGACCATGGTAAGTCTTCATCCCAAGTGGGATTGCTTCACTTTTAATCAAGCTGACTGTTCTTGTAAAGATCGTGGTAGGCGTCACCAAAGCCGTTGGCGACCGATTCGGCAGCGGCGGTATCGCCGATCGAATGATTTGGTTCAACGGATTCCCATTCCTAGACAACAAAGAAGATCACGTCTTCAACGTACCTGTATCCCACGCAATGACCGCAGGCCCGCTCTCGGTGCCAGCATCGGATTTCCCCGTACGCGAAGCAGAACATCTCCTAAACGACAACAAATTCCAAGGCTTCCCCGTCGTGGAGGACCGCACTTCCAAAATCCTAGTCGGATATATCGGCCGAACCGAACTCCGCTACGCCATCGACCGCGCCCGCAACCAGGGCATCATCGCGCCAAACGCCCGGTGTGTATTCACTAAAGATGCGGCTGACGCAGCCGTTGCACGCAGGGCATCCGTCTCGCATAACGCTCGGTCATCAGATACATTCGATGCAATCCAGCGCAGCGTAGGGACTTCTTCCGTCGATTTCTCACGATATGTCGACCACACACCGCTGACCGTTCACCCGCGCCATCCTCTCGAAACGGTCATGGAGATTTTCAAGAAGATGGGCCCGCGAGTTATTCTCGTCGAGCACCGCGGCAAAGTCACCGGCTTGGTTACTGTCAAGGACTGCTTGAAGTATCAGTTCAAGGTCGAAGCCGAGGAACATACTCTGGCCGCAACGAGTTCGTCTGAATTCGGTGCGCTTGGTGGACATCTGGATAGCCCTGCTCCTGAAACACTGGAAGACCGCCTGTGGCGGCTCATTCAGAATGTCGCTGGGTTCGTGTCTGGTAAGGTCTCTCGCCGGCCGGTCCGGCCTCGTGGCCGCAATGTACCTAGGCAATCGGAGCCAGCGGATATTATACAAGGTAGGGATGATGATGCGGTGGTAGAATTGGAGGATAGAGAGGATCGGCCGATGATCCCATGAAAAGCGGGATCGCTATGTTGCCATGTTTATGCGTTACGTTGATAGAGACATGTTTGCTACATACCAAGCGTTGCTCGTTCATCTATTTTCCCATTGCAAGCTCCAATGTTCAAGCCGATGGAGGAAATGACTGAAATTCCTCATATCTCATCAGAGTAAAAGATGCCCAATATAATCTACACTAGCCCTATCACACCTTGCTCCCGTTAAATTTTATACGGAGGTTACTCACTGGATCCTTTGGCCCGGGTAGGGTATATCAGGTATGAGGATGACCTTTAAGATGGCCCTTTCAAAAACGGTGGGATCTCTGACTGGAGTGTGTGAGGTAGATGCCAAACCGGGAATGTGAATTTCTCCAACAGTCCAGTCCAACATAACATCCAATAACTTACCTTCTCACTATCCTCATCACCTCCAACTGTGCCTCAACCCAACCTATTTCTAGGTCCCTTATACCGGGCGGAGTTAGAGATCGCCCATTATGGACGCGAGTTTCTTGTGGAGACTCTCATGATTCTCGTTGCATTTCCACACACCAAATCTTCATTGGTGAGGTTGGTCTTTACCGCACAATGTACCGAAGAACCATGGGAATATATTCAATTTCCTCGTGTCTCCCTGCATCTAAACTGCGTTAGAGAGCTCATCGCCTACGTCCCCGACGATCAAATTCCCGTGCTTCACGTTATAAGTGAAAGCAGACTCAGTAGCGATATTCACATACAAAACCGCAATACTACGGCGAACATGTTCCATCTCCTCCGTGGGATAGCACATCCCAGGCTATTATCCCAGGCGAGGGATGGGAGTACACGCGATAGTCGCTGGCGTCCCATTCTAGTAGTAGTTCCTCCTCCTCTTTCTCTTATTTTCGCCGAGTGAGTCCTGTCGATAGGTACAAATACAGTCATATTAATATCTCTCCTGCTTTCCTCCAATATTCTTTTGATATTATGGTCCGTTTGTATGCGCTATTGCTTTTGTAGACTCGTCATCCCCCGTATCACTTCCTTTTCTCCTGGTGAAAAGTGAGAGTGGAATACTATCTCTGCGGTAGCGACGTGGACCACTGTGATTTCGACTACCCGAAGGATAATCTCGGTGGTTGACAGTCTGTGATTCGCCAGTGCTGCTAGGAACCAGTTTTGGAAATAGCTTGTTCATGATCGGCTTGGTTGCCGGTATACTGGCAGCAATGATAGCGACAGCTATTTCAATTCCCGACGAAATAGAAATCCCAAAGGTATCCCAGGAGGGATCTGAGCTTTGATATAATTTCACAATGTAGACCATCCGCACGATGCTGGCTATACATGCACTGTTATCCAGTTAGCACTAATGCATATATCGAATAAAAAGCCACGCTTTGCACATACAAGCAGCCCAATGATAGCAAACCAGCGATGACGAATCTTTTCCTGGTTCTAAGATGAAGTCCTAGAACTGTTTTCAGTGGCAGGAGAAGAATCCAAATATCCGTCACCAGAGACAGTGCGGCAGTCGCATACCAGAACGGAATAGATGCAAAACAAGTATAATGCTTATATTTCTGTTCGTCGTAGACAGCATCGACCGGGGAGCACTGAAAGATGGTTGCGAGGATAATTGCGATACTCATGGCTGTGACGAATGCGATTGTTGCAAGGCAGATTATTCGGATGTTAGGGAACACGCGTAGGTATAGCAGACAGATTGATACCTTGATCAGACCGCTGATTAGGGTATAAATTATGTGAGTCACGTATCGAATCTGTATTGTTCATATTTAGTTAGCCTTCTTCTTATGATTGATGTTTCCATTTCTCCTATGTTGTATACCTTCGCTGCAGGCATCACATCTGCTTTGATAAGATCCCATTTGTGCTTCCCTGTCCCATACTTGACTCCTATTCATAACATATCAGAGATGGGATTGATCAGATAAAGGGCAGAGAGCGTACCAAGCCCCGCGACTGCCACATTCAAAATTGCGAAAAACATCGCGGCCACCATTATCCAGTCATCCACACCGAACTTTTTCACGATGAAGACCCTTGATACCACGCGGAGACCCACAATGATCGCCGCGACGACTGTTATCGTGCCATTGATGATCAGCAATAGGGGCCCACGATTCTCAACCTATATGGATATATAGTCAGAGAAAACCCCATCGAGGGGATTCTTCGACTTTGGGTGGGACCTTGCCTTACCTCGGATCGCGGCTGAAAGAATGTCTCCATTATATGTCGATATCCGACTCAGAATAGAATGAGGAGAAGGGGGCATGAACTAAACTGCTATAAAAGCCAAAAGCTCCATATCAAATGATCTCTATGCTAGGAAGTTGTTAAAATATTCTTTTCCAGGTGCCCAGATAAATATAATAAATATATATTGTGCCCCCAATCGGATCCATGGACGCTTCGGAAAGTCCGTTCTCGTTAGAGAAATATCCAAATCCTCCAGAAACCCAAAAATTAACTTCCATATATACCACCAATTTGATATGAGTAGATGTACCTAGACACCTAGACATAGCTATAGCCTTATATTGTATGCATCAGTTCGAATGAATCTGTAGAAGGTATGCAAGGGTGAAATGCAGTCTAGGGCTTATACGGCTCCGGAGTGAGACAATTGGTATTTCCCAAGACATAATACTTCCGGCCCCCAAACATGTCGCGATTAGTTCGTGATTTTTAATTGCAATTTCCGTATCCTTTCACCTATGTTGTTATGGAGCACCGAATCGGACTACCCGGTCCTTGCCAAGTAACCCACCCCCCGTGTTGGGTTAACATACAGGAATGTAAACTCTTGTGCAATGTAAAATGTACCTTTTACTAGTAATTCACATATAAAAGGTACATACGGCCTAATAATCTGTCAAAATTCAACAAAAATTGATAAAAATTAATTGAATCCGATAGTACTATTTCATCTATGTGTAAAAATATATAGTATCCTTTTAGTATCTAAAACCGGCGTTATCATGGTGTCATATCACGAAGGGATTTTGACCAGCCTCCGAAAATTGTTCGTGCTATACATGGATATATTCACGATCCCCTGTGGGTTAAGTATTGACCAAGGCTTTGTCGGATATTGAGACATCCCTACAAAATCCGGCGTTTTACCCCGGTGGAGAAGCACATTGTAAGTAGCGAATGGCCTTGTGAAGGGCTTAAAAAAAAGCGGAACTATGACTAGTTGATAATATTCAATAGTTCTAACCTGGAATCTGGCCTTTTAGTATATGCCCCGGATAATACGGAGTACTCTGTTCTCCATGTGAACTATATCAACAGGAACATGCTAGTGATAGACGTCTAATCCATATCGGTTATAGGCACCTGGAATTAAGCGGTAAAACTCCACCTTACACGCGTCTTCCAATATCGCTGAGATGTTTAGTCCTTTTGGAAATTAATGCTCCTATTAACTACCTTACATTGTAGTACCTTGGATTGCTTTTTGCTTTTTTTTTTGTTTTACACTCTGTCGACCTGCAAAGTACATCCTGATGCCTTCTCTTTTGCAGAAACTCCTGTTGGGAATCCCCCTGGCATGCCTAGCCACCGGCCATGCCCTCACTGATTCCGTCAGCTCGAATTATAAAATCGATGTTCATTCCCATGTCGTTCCATCCATTTGGAGGGAAGAATTGATCTCTGCAGGCTATCCAGTCAAGAATGGTACTTTGTATACAGATGGCTTCCCTGTCTCGGATTGGACACTGGATTCCCACATCAGCACCATGAACAGTCTTGGCGTTAATTATTCGACAATCAGTGTCAGCGCCCCCGGCGTCTTCTTCCTAAAAGAGGCCAAAAAGGCCAAGTCTTTAGCCCGCAGAGTCAACCTCCTGCTTCATAACTACACTCGAACTTACCCAACTCGACTGGGAGCCCTCTGCCTTCTCCCTCTCCCTTACGTTGACGAGGCTGTTGAGGAGTTGAAGGTACCCTTCTACCCCTACCTAACTAGTAGACCATCCCAACCCTGGCCAAATCTAACTTGGAAATCGTAGTTTTGCCTGGATACCCTCGGGTTCGTCGGCGTGGGGCTGTACACCAATGCCAACGGCACATATTTGGGTGACAAATCCCTTGACCCTGTCTTCTCGGCCTTGGACAAACGCAATGCCAGCGTGTTTGTCCACCCAGCCTCTCCGGATTGCACATCTGTCGCCAATGGCTGGCCCATCCCCATGACCGAGTATCCTTTCGACACCGTGCGTGCCATTGAGAACATGCTGCTGACAGGTCAACGTGCGCAATATCCGGATATCAAGATGATCTTCGCTCACGGCGGTGGTGCGATCCCCTTCCTGGCTACCCGAATCGCCGGCATGGCCTCCCTTCCCTGGTTGGGTGGGTTGTCAGTCCCCGAATCCCTGGCGCAACTTGCCGGGTATTATTTTGATACCGCGGCCTCGACTTCTGCTATTCAGTTGGCGGCTCTGAAGAGCTTCATCGGCACGGATCAGATCGTGACGGGAACTGATTGTAAGTCTGCAGTGCTAGTCATGCCCCCGAGATGTGCTGCTGCAGTATACTAACGCTTGCAGATCCGTATGTTCCTGTCTCGCAGGCTTCGGCGGGATTATCTGCCATCCAGGGTAATGGTAACTTTACCACGGTGGAGATGAGCCAGATCAATAATCTCAATGCCTTGAAAATATTCCCGCGGATTGTCAAGGCTTTGAAGCTGCACTGAGATTTATATTAGGCATGGCTTGTATATGGATAATTACTAACATAGAACACAAAGAGAGCTCGGAACTCTTTAATTACTGCATTCTTGATTAGCGAGCTATTTTCATATCTATAATCCATTTTCTTTTCTTTTTTTCCCCCTGTCTCTCATTTCAAGTATTCATGACAAGTATAGGAGAGCAGTCTTGATTATGCGTTAGGTCTTCGGTTGCGGAGAAGAAGCCTCTGAGGGCCAAAAAGTACTCTTATACGATATGGCAAGCTTGGGACGGATTCCAGGAGCTTTGTAGATCCACTCATCGTACATGCAACCTATTTGTGGTTTAGAAGTGCTAGACTGTAGGTTGTATATTCGAATCGTTGTGTAGAGCAAAGTCTAGAGCGGTAGCAAACAGTTTATCAGGTAACTCTGTTGGGTCGGACATTGTGATTGAAATGATAAGGGGCACAAGAAGATCAGGATGGAGCACTCATGAATGGGACAGGATATAGACTACTTCACACATATGCCAAAGGAGTACATTTGGTATTGTCAGTCTTCAAGATTCTGATTTCTGCGGTGAGGTGTAGTTTTCACTTCAGATATTTCTTACAATGATGCGCTGAAATCAAATGATAGTGATATTGATATTGGTTACATTGACATAAGACCAAAGCAGAGAAACAGACATACACATAGAACAACTTCCATCCGAATCATCTTAACCTATCTCTGCAAGCGCAGCCACTCTCTCCAAAACCTGTCGTAAAGTCGGACCAGAGCAGCTGAAGCCCTTATCCTTCGGATCAACAAAACAGAATTGGAACGGACGCCATAGTCTTTTATCCAGAGACTCCTTCTCGAGTGGGTACTCTGGGATCTTTCGAAAGCTCAGAAATTTGTTCTCTTCCAATACACTGTGCAGAACCAAACTGTCAAGCTGGTACGAACCCCCACCCAACTCGCGGAGAATGGACCGCCAGCCTCCAAAGTCCAGTTCCACAAAAGAGAAAGTCGCACGGCGAAGAGAGCCTGTAATACTATAAAGAAAGATCCCCAAAGCAGCCGAAGATTGGAATGACATCCGGGAGAAAGTCAACTCTTGTAGCTCCGGCAAGCACCCAACCGATGAAATCTGAGCGAGAAGTGGAGCTGCTTCGCACTTCCAGCTGAAAAGGATGGCAAGTTTTCGGAGAGATTTGGCACATTGGATCATGCTCGCCATCCAATGAAGAGTTTCGCGCTCGGCATCCGGGAGCGCAAGGCTCAGTTCTTTAAGGTGAGCGAAGGCCGGGATCCCAAAGTTGATGATAGGAAACTGGGTTAGGCTATCGTTATGCTCGTGGGCCCTTCTTCTGTTTTTGATTATATCTATCGAGAAAGATTCCATCCAAATGTGCTCGGTAGCTATGGCTTCGAGAACGACACCAGTGGCCTCGTCAAGCGTGATGCCGTCACAGCCCGCATGCGCGGTTGTATATATTGAATTGCGCAACTTGAAGGATTGGCAGTTGGAAAACCTTTTCACCACGTCTCGCCACGCTTGAATAGCTGTTCCTTCTGATGTGGTATGAGGGGATAATGGTCCTAGGCAACCTTGTGAATTCCTGACGATCTCCAACTTGCGGACATAGGGGCAAAAGATGACATCTTTTGCTGCTTCCTCGACCCGGGCAAGTGACTTTGGTGAAAGATCGGTCTTCAATGTGTGTACAAAAGTTTGTACGAAGTGGTGAAAAGTGCTCTGGTATATCGCTCGGCAAGTGAGCCGAAGAGCGCATAGTTCGGGAGACTTGGTAAATTTGGCGATATCCGCCAGTATCTCAACTGGGAGACTATATATACCTGATGCGGGTGCTATTTGGGTACCCATACTGAATAAAAGGTAGGAAATTTGATGAGAAAAGAAGTAGTCGGGGAGGAGGATACTGGTATAGGCTTCGTATAAAGTGAATAAGATAGGGATGGATGAAAGAAAATGGTGAGGTTGATAAAAGAGAATAACAGTGAGTTGGAAGAAGAAAAGAAGAAATAGTTGGACAGTCGAAGAAAAGCAACGAAGTCGAAGCTCCGGTCCTGTTTTGGGAAGTATAAGGTTGATCGCCGCTTCTCTTTTGGTCCATAGGTGTTTTGTTACCAAACCATGACATGGAGGAATAATAACACAGAATAACGAATATATAAGCTGAAGTAAAGGTATAGCTGAAGTTATATTAAGCCATTTATAAGCGGGGGGTAAAGGTATAACTGAAGTCATATTAAGCCATATATAATTAGGGCGATATGACTGAAGGCCTGGGTTGTCGGGCAGATGTGCAGGATAGATCAAGCTCGATGAACATAACCATTTTGCCGTCATGATTTGATGCCAACATGGTAATATAAAGTGATAAAAGGAAAGTAAACAGTCTTTTGCCCACTGTGGAAGGTCCAGTTGGTAAGGTCAAGATCTGGCCGATCCAGTAGTTGCCAGGTTTCCTTCGCGGTGCGGGTTCGGAGACAGGATATAAACCCATCAATGAAGATAGTTAGAGGCGCCACCGGTAGGATGAATGTAAAAAAGAGATAGACTGGCGAATCCCAGTACCAAACAAAAGTTACAAAGAAAGTCCAAAAGAAGACCAAAGGGGAACATAGACATGTCCAAAGATCGCGTGATGTGATTTCGAATATACTGAACGGAATCGAATTAGTTAATGAATCAAGTGGTATCATTGCGATGATAACTTGCATAAACGAGTCAGCGGTCTCGACTGCACTCTTCAGAATTCCCGCTGCATCTTCATCTCCGAAGTGGTGGAAACAGATGTTGAAAATCCGACACTCTTTTTTCGAACTTACCGCAAATCGAGGAACAGCTCGAGCATCTACCGGGCCCTCGATATACGTGACGTTCAGCTGCTTCTTCGAAATTCGCTCCCATTCTTCAATATGGGGGTAAAGATCGCTTAAAACAAACTGAACAGGGCCCTTGCCTTCGGACTCGAGTTCTTTGTTGAGCTCTGATTCGAGGACTGGGGTCGGCCCACCGGCGCCGGCGCAGATGTCTAGAACTGTATACGAAGAAAGATCTTTCAGATGCTCTTTGAAAACTGCACATGCCTGTTTGGCGAGACTTTCATGGCTCCACCCGGGAGTTCGAAGATTCCACAGTTGGGTGAGAACCAGTTGCTCGTGTTGGTGAAGCCATGCGGGGCACCAGGTTTGATCGCCAATCTCTAGAAGATGCGATCGAGGCCAAGAGAATAGTTGCATTGTGTGTGTTTCAAGGTACTGGTGAAAAGAGTTATCTAGTGAAAGAACGCGAGATTAGGCTGCTGGCAGGGAAATCGCCCAGTCACGTGCTGCCACACAGACTCTGGTGTCACTTCAAATAAAAACACAGCGACAACAGAAGATCTTCCATTGATTGCTTGATGTCTCCGGAAGGCCGTGTCCCCTTGGATATCACCTGTGGGTGTATTTAGGGCGACATCGGGATGTTTCCCCCAAACCCCACAACTCCTTCGGGATATGTAGCTTTCATCTTTAGGTTGACAAGCGAGTCTTAAGACACAGCATATTGATTTCATCTCCCATGGACTAAACCTGAAGTTCTACATGTCCATCGATATATTCCCGGCATACGAAGTGCACGGTGATCTCAATCGAAATCCCCACTAGTCCTGATTCGGAACCCAACGGGGAACATCACCTTGACACCAACGGAGAACATGAAGGTTGTTATTGTCGGCGGAGGTCTAGGTGGCCTAGCCTGTGCAATTGCCTGTCGCCGTGAAGGCATTAACGTGGAAATTCTCGAGCAGTCCCCTGAAGTCCACGAAGTCGGAGCAGGCATCCAAATCCCACCAAATGGCGGTAGGATAATGCGCGATTTTGGCCTACTTCCACAACTACTCGAGCAAGGAAGTGAGGTACAACAAGTAAATTTCCGAAGGTACAAAGATGGCCGTTTTCTACGATCAATGCCATTTGGGGATGATATCACGGAGGAGTTCGGAGTGCCGTGGATGTGCGTGATTGGCCTGACCCTGATGTTTACATACACACTTTAACCCTTTTCCAGAATTATTCATCGGGTGGATTACCATCGCATTCTTCTTGATGAAGCAATCCGACTTGGTGTGGATCTTCAACTCGGGGCAGAAGTAAAGGATATATACACCGAGGAGCCGGCCGTTCTCCTCGCGGACGGGAGATACATATCGGCAGATGTTGTGATTGGTGCTGATGGTACGTCAATAGATATTTCGCTAGTTACATTTTGGACTGTCTTATCTGACAAGAAAAGGCCAAATGTCTACGGTCAGAAAGGCTGTCCTCGGATCTTCTCATTCTCCAGTCCCTACGGGCGACATGGCTTATCGAGCAACCTTTTCACGAGACCAGCTGGAGGCTTTAGATGATGAAAAAGTAAATGAACTGTGTCAGAAAATTGCGGTTACAAGCTGGTTGGGACCGGAGAAGCATACCATTTTCTACCCTCTCCGCGGTGGGAAGGAGTTCAATCTTGTTCTCATGCGGCCCGATAATTTATCATCGGACTCTCGTAGGGAGCAGGGGGATATTAACGAGATGCGAGAGAGCTATGCCGACTGGGATGAAACGTAAGGACTTCTGGAATAATCGACTCTGGTTCCCGACTAATATGCTTCTCGCTTTTCTAGATTGCAAAAGCTGGTTTCTTGTGTACCATCGGTGTATAAATGGAAACTGACACATCTCTCCGAGCTGGAATCTTGGACTAAGGTCGGTATATCACTATGGCATTCGTTATATTTGCAAATTCGCTAACTAGAACCCACTAGGGATCTGTTGCTTTACTTGGTGATGCCTGTCACCCCACTCTGCCATATCAGGCACAAGGAGCTGCGATGGCCGTCGAAGACGGGGCAGTCATTGGCAAGCTTCTAGGCCTATTGCAGGCTCATTATCTGGACGCCCAAAACTCCGGAAGTGACCCGTCCATATCAACGCGATCTTCAGCTGAAGATCTCACAGCTGCTGTGCTAACCCTCTACGAAAGATGCCGCAAAGCACGCACAGCCCGGAATGTTCAAGGAGCAATCATGAATCGGAAGCTTTTCCACATCCCAGATGGCGTTTTGCAAATGATTCGAGATTTTCTGTTGGGGTATGCAGGAGTTACCCAGAAGAGCGATTGGACATGGCTGTCTTCATTCCGACAGGGGCAGACCCTCGGTCTAGATGTGCTGGGGGACTGTGAAAAGGTCTTTGGGGAGTGGAGATCGACACACTAATTGCACATCATATGATAATAGGTACCGGCTATACGGATGATACTGCTTTCAACTGTTTCCTTTAGCATGATTCACGATCGGCGAACCGTTTTAAATCCGGTAGATTTGTGTATATTGTATATACAATTAAGCTAATCTGAATCCCATCTGAATTTTCATTGTCAGCTCTACCCGCAGCTTTCCTATCGCCTATAGGACCTGCTATTAGCAAGCAAACTCCATAAGCGTTTTGACTCTACACAGTCACCACCTTCGTTTATGAACCCTTCGGGAGGTGTGTTGGCTAGTATTTTCATATCTTTATCGGATATTGTTGACATGCTTTGTTATAGATATTTCCCAATCCATGCCCGGTAGTGTTGATGACGGGAGCAAGGTAAATTAGCTCGTCGTTTGAGCCTGAAAATCACCCAAAATCGGTCTATCGAAACTAATATTACCCCAGGGAATACCCATACCCCATTAGGAACTGGGTATCTTTCCAGCCACTATCAAGACCAGAGCCTCACGTGTAGTGGCTGTGGTAGATCGGGCACAAGTGTAAGACCCGTGAGTTGCAAATAGTTCGAAATCCCGATTTTGGGTATTTTCAGACCCAAACAATGAGGCAATTCACCTCGATGACGTCGATTCTGAATTGACTACTCCTCGAATCAAAGACAACCACATAAACTGGATTTGTGTGAGAAGGTGACAGGGTGCACCGAACCCCTTGTCCAAGACCAAGAGAAGAGAAAACCTTGCAGGTTACAAATCAGATGGATCCAAGGCCAGATTACTAATTCACCGCCTACAGACTTTTTATTCTGCCACTCGTCATTCCCACTGGGCACTCACAGGCTCAGATTCTCAGATTCTCCGTTATATCCGATCGGCCAGTCGGGACCCCGAGTGTCCGGACTATCGCCGGGGAAGATGAAGAAGTTCCGAAAAAAGGAAATCAAAAGAAAAAGAACCGGAAGAAAAACGTGACTCACTTCTAGGGACCCCCCTTTTTCCAAGATTTCAAGGGAATGGGTTGATGCTGATTGGTGTCTATCTACGACAGTTACGACGTCTTACTTTTTGGCCACCTGACCTGTTTGACGTTTTAAATCCTCATTGTGGATTCACTTTAGGATGTTGTATGTACAGCACTACTTACGGAATACTTACTCTCGATGTATCTTCAAGATGACCCGTCGGGAAACCCCCACATCATAAGGGAAGATCTGATATGCCCAATACAATACATCAATGTACTAGTACAATCACGTAAAAAGAGTTGAAGATACATAGTAAAATAGTAAAATCGGAGGAATGAGGCGGAGCAGTCACAAAATGTTACGAAAGTATCAAGAGGATTCCCCGGAGAAGATCGGCCCTAAGGAAATGGTCCACCTGTGAGACTCCATCTCCTTCCAGAAGTCCATCGGGTAACTAAGTTATTATCTTACTTGGTCCCCCCCTTCGTTTTTTTCAGGCTACTACTATTCTCTCTTTTTCACACAATTCTTGGGCCCTGATCAACAGGTCCTTTTTTTAATACTATTATTCTCTTAATATTACATTTGCGCGTTCATTGGCGACAGACAGTCGTCAAATGAACCTGCACTTTCGATATTATCTTGAGTGCAAGGTAAGAAAAAAAAAAAACATGCACGTGAGGTTTATTGACACAACACTAACTTGAATTCACAGCATCACCTCTTTATTCTAAAGAGGTCGCCCATCAGATAAATGGTTTTCAAACCATTCACCCACCTCGCGCGCCAGAGTTTCACCAAAGCCTTTACTCACGGCTATGCTCAATCCGTAGTCGCCGCGTCGCAGTCCTACGCGTCGACAACCCCCTTTAATCCCCTCGCCCAACCCGCCAAATTCTCCCGTACAACCCAATTACAGAATGCTTTCTCCAATGCGTCCAGTTCATCCGGCGCTGGCGCCAAAACAAGCCAGGGAGGATCTGGAAATGGAGATCTCGGTTTAGCGGCCTATTATGCCGCGTGGCAGAACGCCCAACAGACCGGGGATGATAGCGACTGGACCCAATTCGAGTTCAAGCGCCGTATTGGCTGGAAGCCAACCGAGGAGGCTGAGAACGTTGACGAAGACCGGGCTGCATCCGATCTATCTCCCCCTCATCCGACCAAGGCTGCCGTGAACGAGGATGTTAGTGCGCAAGTGGAGGAGGCCGTGGCTCGTGAGATTCAGATTCAGGAGGAGCAGGCACAGGCCGAGGAGGCTGCGCTGGGGGCAGAAGCGATTGTTGAACCGACTGTGGAGGATGTCGCCGTTTCGGAAGTGTCTGAAGCCAACCACATTGCTTCGGATCGCATTGTGCAACTGGCCAACTCCAACAAATTTGCAGAAATCCCCGCTGCGTTCGAAACTCTGCTCCGAGAGGGATATACTCCAACTGTCGTGGCATATAATGCCCTGCTGGTCGCTGCCATCCGTCTTCACCCTGATGCTGCCCAGGCCATCCCCAAGGCCCTCGATGTCTACTCGGACATGCTTCGTCGTAGGGTAATTCCCGATGAAGATACTTATGAGACTCTGGTTCAGCTTCTGGTCACTCGGGCTCATGATATCATCAAGGCCAAGGAGGCATTGGAGCAGGAACGCGTCCGATTCGGTGGTATGGAAGAGCCTGGCAAGTTCATGCTTCAGTCGAGTGAATTGGAGCGGGATCTTCTCGCCGAGGATACTTCCCTGTCCATCGCAGTCACGCTCTTTGATACCGCCACTGCGCGACACAACCGACTTGTGTTCCCGGGCGATATGTACCGTCATCTCATCATTGCCTGTGCCAAGGAAGGCAAGGTGGAGGATATGATCCGGATTTACGCCCACATGGAATCGCAGAAGATGACTCCGCATGCCACTATCTTCCCCTCCATGATCACCGCATTTGCTTCCACTGGCGATCTGCGGAGTGCCGTGGAATGTTATAACGAGTACCGAGGGCTCGCAGTCTCAGATGACAGCGGTGTCTTCAGTATCGTTCAGCGCCAGGACGGTCAGGTCTATGCTGCTTTGATTCGTGCTTACCTGTCCTGCGGTAAAGAGGAGGGTGCCACGCAGTTCCTTGATCGCATTCGTTCTTCGTTCGACGAGGTAACCGAAGGTCGTCAAGACCGATGGTCTGCCGTGGAAGCTGTGATTGTCGAGGATGCACTTGTGCAACACTCGCTCAACACGGGCGACCACAGCAAGGCATTGGACCAGGCCAAGAATGAGTTGCATGATGAAGCTCGGAATCAGGCCATTTCCCGCATCTGTATTGCTGCAGCCGATGCGGGTGATCTCCCCACCGCTTCTGCGGCTTACGATAGTCTGCCCACTGCACCTGACGTACGACAGAACCCAGCCATTTCCCTGCTGGCCCTTCAAGTGCGCCGGGGCAATGTTTCCGCTGCCCGTTCCTTGTGGATCATGCTGAACACGGTGGGTCAGACAACCCCGGATCTGGTCCAGCCGACAGCTATGTATGCCGTGGCTCTGCTCAAGAGTGGGAATGTCGAGGAAGGTCTTCACCAGGCCCGCCACATGTTTAAGCGCATCCGCAACGCCACCCAAGATCAACACGCTGCCGTCGCCAGAGAACAGATTACTGAGTCACTTCATCTCTTCGGTCGCGTCCTTATGCAGTCGGCTGTGATTCTTTCCCCTCAATCATCTATGACCCTGTTGTGGTCCATGCTAGAGAACGGTGGTCTGGTGTCTCCTCTCGCTGAGCACGCTGTCGCCAACCTTGGTCCCATCGGTATCTCCCAGCTCAAGGCTGCCGACCTCACACTGGCGCTCCAAGTTCAGGCTGGCATGCTGGTCAGCAGCGGTTCCATGCTGTTCGATGTCGCTCATCCCGTTCGCTTTGCCCACATGCTTGACGTCGCTCTGTCATCCGCCCTCCCTCTGGATCTCTACACCACTGGCCTTGTTGACCAGGCTGTTGGCAAGCTCTTTGTCAGTCGCCCTGATGTCGTCAAGAAGTGGCAAGATTATCTGGAGGCTGGCTCGCAGACCTCCGTTTCACCTTCGCAGATGTTCCTTTCGTCTGATCGTCAAAGCCCTGTCTCTATGGCGGAGACCTCGATCACTACTCCGTCTGCCGCTCCCGAATCGTTCGATCCCTACGCTCACGCGACCGACTTCCGCGGATCCGCCATCATCGCAGAGGAGCTTGAGAACACTAGCGGACGCATCGAGACTCACCTCAATGAGGCTCTGACCCGTCTGAACAACATGCGCCGCATTAGTCGTCACCCGCGCTACATCACCTATGCTAAGCTGATCACTGCCGCGGCCAAGGCTGGTCGCATGACCCTGGCTCACAATATTCATAACATGGCACGGGCTGATGTTCCCCTGGATATGAACTTTAGCGTCGTCAAATATGGTTGGGTCTCCATTCTTGATGCCATGGTTGCTGCTTGCCTCACCCTTGGCGACCGCCAGCTTGCTGCTCAATACCACCAGGAGCTTCTCACTCTCGGTTCCGCACCCTCGGCTAACACTTTCGGCTTGTACATCACCACCCTCAAGGAGTCTACCAAGACCTTCGACGAGGCTACTGAGGCCCTCAAGGTCTTCCACCGTGCCGTCGCTGAAGGCGTGGAGCCTACCTCCTTCCTGTACAACGCGCTGATCGGCAAGCTGGGCAAGGCACGCCGCATTGACGACTGCCTTGCGTACTTCGCCGAGATGCGTGCCAACAATGTGCGCCCAACCAGTGTTACCTACGGAACCATTGTGAATGCTCTCTGCCGTGTCAGCGACGAGCGCTTTGCCGAAGAGATGTTCGAAGAGATGGAGTCCATGCCCAACTACAAGCCGCGTCCCGCGCCTTACAACTCCATGATCCAGTACTTCCTCAACACCAAGCGCGACATCAGCAAGGTCCTAGCCTACTACGAGCGCATGCAGACCCGCAACATCAAACCCACCTTACACACCTACAAGCTGCTCATTGACGCACACGCCTCCCTGGAGCCAGTGAATATGGCCGCCGCCGAAGCCGTGCTGGAGTCCATGAAGGCTGCAGGCCACCAGCCTGACGCCGTGCACTACGCCTCGCTAGTGCACGCTAAGGGCTGCGTCCTGCACGACCTTGCCGGCGCGCGCAAAGTCTTCGACGCTGTCGTCTCGGACCGCCGTGTTCGTCTCCAGCCATGTCTCTACCAAGCTCTCTTCGAGTCAATGGTCGCCAACCACCGTGTGGCCGACACCGAAGAAGTCGTCCAGAACATGTTCGCACGCAGGGTCGACATGACCGCCTACATTGCCAACACTCTGATTCACGGCTGGGCCGCCGAGGGTAACGTGTCCAAGGCCAAGGCCATCTACGACAGCATCGGCATTCAGAAGCGAGAGCCTAGCACCTACGAAGCGATGACCCGTGCGTTCCTAAGCGCCGAGGATCGCACCAGCGCCGCCACCATCGTCCAGGAGATGATGTCCCGCGGATACCCTTCTGCGGTGGCCGGCAAGATCGTCGATCTCATCGGTGGAGCTTCCGCCTCTCTTTAAATTCTCTTGCCTATATTTGTGACCAGGTGATACCCATTTAATGTTTTGCACCCCCTCCAATCTCTTTGCCAGGGCTGGATCCCTGTGTTGGGATATTTCCGGTTCGGCGTCTGCAGGGCGGCACTTGGATATACCTGGTGGGATATCTGTTTTTTTTTTACTCTTTTTTTATATATCTCTGATTTATATATTTTGGCATCCAGCGAAGGTTCGGCGTTTATTCGGGTGATCAAAAAGGGCGTGCATTGGAGCACTGTATACCATTGTGTGTGTTTTTTTTTTTTGTCTATAGACACATCTCAACTCCCCCACCGCGTTATAGACGCAAATATCAAAATGAAAAAAATCTAATGAGTCAAAAATATGTTTTCCTCGTCTTCTATATACATACCTAGGTAGCCAGAGTCAGGCTCACTGAGTAGATTTCACCTCTGAGCGCTTAGTGAGTCTAATTGGGTGCTCGCTGATTACTTAGAGACTACTTAGAGACTACTTAGAGGCATAATGACTATTTTTCATAGGGTCATCCATCATGTTCTTTGTTCCTATCTTTCGCAACTGAGCTTTGAAGATTCAACACATCCAGCCTTTTCGTACCATTCAGGCGGGTAATCTGGCATAGGATGAGCGGGTGTGGGGTCAAAATCTGTCGAATGTCTCGATAATCTTTGGAGTGATGTTGATGTTTGTTTCGGCTGAAAGCAGGTAAGCATTGACCGAGGAATACCTAGAGCTCCGCCTCCTGAGACTTAGAATGGATACCTTTGGATGTTCCCCCACGCACATAGAATAGCCTCTTTCTGTGCCATTTCATGATCTGATAAAGGATCCACGGACTCCAAGAGAAGGGAATTGAAGTTTCCATCTTTTCCATCAAATATCCACTGTATGCAGAACTCGAACAATCTTGGATAGAAGCCCGCAGATGCCCAATCGATAAGGCATAGGGAGCCATCTTCCTGCCATATGATATTCCGAGGTGCAATATCTAAATGACAGAGCACGAGATCACAGCCTTGTAAATCTAAGCTGGGGTTATGTGCGAAGAGCCGGCTATTAAACCACTCCTCCATCCGGTCAAGATTATCGAAAACCAGGTCTTCTATTTCAGGGAACAGAAGGCCACGACAAGCGCCCCCATAAAGTGATCCAGGGATGTTATACCGTAAAGTTGCGAGATGGCTAAGCACGCTAGCAACCCTCTGTATGGCGCTAATATCATCTAAAGGATCGATGACCTTTCCTTTTATAAATTCCATTGTAATATAACCATATTCTTGCTCGTCGGTAAAGAAATCATACACACGTGGGATACGAACTATGCGGCTGTCCACAAGTTCATACGCTATCCTTTGATTGTCAAATTCTTCTCTTGTCACATATGGGCCACATTTAACGACTTGAGAATCAGAGATTCTGATCATTCGTTTGCCGTATTGGCTAACAACATTGCTAGGCAACGGGTTTGCGCAAGAAGCGATCACTGAGGCTCGTTGCGAGTCTTCGGGGAGCGACATTCTTTTAGAATGAAAGATTGATTGGAGAGTAAGAGATTATAGGGCAACGTAGGTCTGGGGCTTCAAGCCAGTTATAAAGATGACAAGATATAAGAAATAATATAACTTGGAGTGGAGGGGTGTAAAAAGGGGTCGAAGATGTGTTGGTTAACTATAGCATTAGCTATAGCATTAGCTAGTAAACAGCAATTTCGCCTACGCAGATCAACACTCGTCAAACAACATATGTTAAGTACACATATGGTCAACAGCATGGTAAATTATATCTCCTACATCGTACAACATAACTAGTACTCCCGTATTGTCCGAAGAAATCGCATGACGTCTCGGAAGGTTCCGGTCAGACCCAAACATCCACTTCATAGGAATTCCTATTGTGGAACTAACAGCTTCCTGGAGCTTAGCTTTACTTCTACTAATCCCTGGCAATTGAGGTATTACACTTATTCTGTTCCCTCGCCATTTTGATGCAGATCCGGGTACTCTTCACTTTCCGTCCAACCGTTGACTCATTCCTCCGCTCCTTTCCCCGCCAACCCCGCCAACTTCGATATTCCTCAACCAACCAACCCAGCAATTGCAAACCAGGAATGGATCAAAACGAACACCAGCCAGATGCCCATCGGCGTCCGAAGAAACTAATCTGTAAATCTGCTCTACATACCAAGCCAATCCCTCTACACAAAGTTTACATAAAGCTAACCTCCAAACCCCCAGTCGCACCAGGCGACATTGCACCAAACTCCAACGAACCAACCCCAGAACCACAACCCCAAGCAATCCCCACCCCAACAACCACCCTAGAAGCCCTCCGCACCTCAACCTCAACCCCAAACTCCACAACCGAAACCGAAGTCCTCTCCAAGGCCGCGCGCGCCCACCAATTCGGCACAAACCCCCCGTTAACAATCTCCCAAATCCACGGCACAAACCCACTACACCAATTCAACACCTGGTTCCGCGACCCCCCGCCTCCCAGCCTCCTCCGCCCCAGAAACATGCACTCTATCAACAGCCTCGCTCCCCTCCGGCCGCGTCAGCGCACGCGTCGTATACCTCAAAGAACTCGACGAGCGCGGCTGGGTCGTCTACAGTAACTGGGGTAGTCGGGAAGGCAAAGGCGGACAGGTTTTCGGAGGCGAGAGTGGTGATACGCTAGATGCCATGCCGGAACCGGAATCGGATTCGGAAGAACCTTCCATCACGGCGGAGGTCGGGTCTGGGAATAAATGGGGCGCGCTGACGTTTAGCTGGGCGAGTGTTGAGCGGCAGGTGAGGGTTGAGGGGTTGCTTGAGCCGCTGAGGAGGGAGGAGAGTGAGATGTATTGGCGGACGCGTGAGCGCGGGAGTCGTATTGGGGGATGGGCGAGTTGGCAGAGTCGGGTTTTGTGGGCTGCGGAGCCGGCGCAGATGGAGGAGAATCAGAGGAGGAAGAGTGTGGTGAGCTTACAGGGAGATGGGGATGGGGATCGGGTTATTCCGCTGGATATTGAGCAGACGGATGTTGAGGATGGGCGGGCGTTGTTGGAGGCTAAGGTTAAAGAGATGGAGGATAAATTCGCGGGTGTTGAGGATATTCCCTTGCCGCCGTTTTGGGGTGGTGTTAGGCTTGTGCCGGAGTCTGTGGAGTTCTGGCAGGGACGTCGGAGTCGCTTGCATGATCGGTTCCGGTATGTGCGTGTTGAGGGACAGGGGGAGGATGCTAAGTGGCGAGTTCAGAGGTTGTCGCCGTAGAGGTGGGATATATAGATTAGTTGCATTCCTACTGGTGTTATACTTACCCTCTAAATTAAGCAAGTGTTGTTCAAGCCACGATCCGATCCGTGGATGTTGATGTTTCACGTCGATCATCCATATCAGCTTATCTGAATCCTTATCGATTATCAGTCTTGGCACGCGAACTCCTTCAACGTCACTCTAAACCATCTAGCCCTTGAGTCCTACGCTACTTGGATATAGGCTGCAATCCTAGAAAAAAGAGCCTGATACACCACAATATATACAGTTGTATTTCCACAGCGGCCATGTCGACCTCAACGCCCCCGTCAATCCCTCACTCCTCCACATCCCCCTGGATCATCCTCGCAATAACGAGCGGCGCCTTCGCTGCATTGAACGGTGTTTTCGCAAAATTGTACGTGGATAATTCACCCTATATCTCAGCATCGGAGCAAAGCAATGCTCTATAAGCTATAAGCTATAAGCATATACGCAATAGGCTATACGATCCGTGTAACCCCGAACCAAGTTAATCTTTGGAAACGTTCCACAGAACCACGGACGACCACACAACGGCCTTCGCACAGTCCCTCGCCCACGTCTTCGGTCTGGAGTCATCGCCCGTGATCGAGATGCTTACTCGAGGTGTATGTTTACAACTTTCTTTTTATATCCGGACTAAAGCCCGAGTCCAAACATTACCCATCTACTTACCTTACCTTACTACAACATACATGTATACCACATATATGTGTCATACAATTTATACTAACTAATATATATCCCACAGGCCTGTCTCGGCCTAAACGTCCTCTGCAACATAATAATGTGGGCGCTCTTCACACGCGCGCTAACGGCCGGCCCATCCACCGTTAAAGTCTCCATCACCAATACGGCGTCGAATTTCTTGGCGACGGCGGTGTTTGGGATGATTGTTTTTCAGGAGGCTGTTGGTGGGCTTTGGTGGTTGGGGGCTGCCATGATGGGGGCTGGGTGTATTTTGGTTGGGATGAGGGAGGGGGCTTAGATTTTGGATTGCGTTGAGGTTTAGGTGTTATATAGGCTTTTTTGGATAGTATAATTTATCTAGAGATTTTGGATATGTTGATGGGCTCTGAGGTTTGGTTCTGAGTTTGATAGTAGTTGTACGGAAGTAGATAGATTCATAAATTTGGGCGTTTTGTAAGCGTGTCTTGTAATAAGCAAACTTGACGGATGTGAAGTAAAGAGAGATGAAGCTGTTGAGGCTCTTGCCTTGAACTGATACCTCTCCTGTTAGGTCTGATCTCTCTTCTTCTCTCCCCCTCCCTACTTGTTGCATTCTTTGAAAATGACCACTATCCACGGCCATTGAGGGGTTTCGAGATCAACCAATAGAATCACTCATTCGGCGACTATTATAAGAATCCCACTGACATCTTGCCTCTGGGCCTAGCCAGTTGGTTCTTGTCCCTATGGTGGAGCCTACGACGGTAAGGGCCAATGCCCCAGTGGAAGCCATTGTGAATATCCAGAGCGAATTGTTTGCAGTATGCCCAAAGAGCGCTATAGAAATTGTACTAAAATGCGATTTTCCTTTCCTCTGCTGACCGTGTGCTGTAAATAGCTGGCTTCCGCTGTAGGTGTCATGATATACTGTTGTGGCAGGGTGTCACCTGACCCTGTGTGACAGGACTGTGGTCTCCCTCTTCTTCTTTTCCCCTTCTCCCTTAGCAGTTAGCAGTTACCAGTACAATTGCTCTCTCTCTCTCTCTCTCTCTCTCTCTCTCCCTTCTCCTGGCTTTCTATCAATTATACCAACCCTAGCTACATTATCGAGGTACTCTAAAAAGTCAAGGTTGCACATCGCAGACTAACTAGTTATAGTTATATGTTATAACTAGTTAACTAGTTAGGCATCAACTGACCGTTCGTTCTTTCTGCCTCAGGCGGAATTCCCCTTGCCGCCATTATCTAGACAAATAAACCGACCCCCTCATCTTGTCTCCCAGCTATCGAAATTGCTAATTATCGCTCTTTTATTTTTGATGATAATCTAAGCAAGTTGATATCTTCGTCAATTTTCGTCAAACTTGAGATGGATGAGGCACTCATCATGGAGCGGGCTACTCGTCGCCACGCGCTGGCTAGGATTGAGGGCCTAATCAAGCAAACCACGAGTTACCATGTCGAATCCTCTGACCTGAAGGCGGCCGGTATCCGCCACCTTCCTTTATCCCTTGAAAACGATACCCAACATCATCCATGCTTCTTCAAGCCATACCAAGAAGAGCTGCCTCTCCCGTCGAAGGAGGAGGAGGACGAGCTGCTGGAATATGAGCCTGACTCAAATCACATAATGTGGGATACTCGCTCTATGGAGCTCTTTCTCTCTCACCACTTTCATGATTGCTGGGGATATGCATCGAAGGCGTACCCCAATAACCCCCCGCCCTCTGGTGCATATCGAGAGTATGTTACCCCTCACGGCTACTTTGTCATGTCTGCTGACCGTTCACGACAGAACTGGGGACTATAGGTTTGGCCAACTGCTGGAGTGTATCGATTTCAACTGGTATGCTGTGTTGGTAACCAACTATCCAGCGGGGAACTGTCCACACTTCAAGGTCATCCTGGAAAGTGATGTGAACGGGGACGATAGACTGCTTCGCGGAGAAATTATGACTATCACTGACATCATGGCTGCTCGTCTGAGAACCAAGACGCTGCGCCCGCATATTGTTGCCCCAGTAAGACTTCCCATGGTGGATTCACGGATTCTAAATGATCTACTAACCTTCCTGTGGTAGATTCTTGCCCTGTCTCTCATGGGTCCTCGTCATGCCCGTGTCCTAGAGGCTGACTTTGATGGAGAGATTCTCAATATACGCGCTTCTGGGTTGTACGATTTCACGCGAAAGAACACTGATGTTGTTCAATTGCTGACGCGATATTGGCTCGGTGATGCATGCGGCCAGACTATGATGGAAGCCTCCTAGTTCGGTGCAAGATTTTGTTTAGGCTGGACACTGCAATATTTTCCTGCTTGTTATGAGCAATGCAGCTCTTATGATAATGAAATTGCTCTCTCGTTCCGAAAACGACGTCTACAACTTGAATTCTTATGAGGATTGCATATGCGCTTCAAAATAAATCTAGTTGTTGGGGTTACCTGACCCTCTTTGACAGGACTGGCAGCTGCAAATAACTTCCTCTCCCTCTTCTTCTTTTCCCCTTAGGAGTTAGCAGTCAGCTACAATACAGTCATATTGCCTACTCCCTTCGTCTAGTATCTCATCAATATTGAACCTCAGCTATATATAGGTTGCTGCTGGCTCACCATTGATTCATGTCCAATTGACAGATCATGCTACTAGATAGCTGTTTCTAAGAAAGTACCAACCGTGGAGGTATGGATGCACAACCAATCCACGGCTTGGAGAGGTTGACTAGTGCACGCACGGGATAAAGCACGTTACGAATCTGACCGCAACATTGGATCTCAACATAGCCAACGGAAGAGACGATGTCTTGTACGGGCTTTCTCGGACTACAATCATACCTGATATCCAACCATCAGTTCATGTCTGAAACAATGTAGCCCACCGAGTCCTCTGCGGTTCTGGAAGAACACGCATGCACCAAGCTGACAGCCCACCCGTAAGCGCAAAATCCGCGGTCTCCCATTCCTCTGCAAGTCTGTCCTTCCATTCTTCTATCCAAATAATCTGTACCTCGCCATAAGGAGAAATCAAGGGCACCATGCCTTTAGGCACGCGTCCAGAAAGCGGAAGAGGCGGGCCGGTATAAAAGAATTCATGCTGAGGATCACAGATACCCGGGATGTTGGATAGATCGCCCGACTCACACTGGCGGTAACATCGTCGACAAACTGTCGAGAACGCGCAGGAGCGGCAGAAATACCAGTATTGCATGGTCCCGATTTCCCGCTTGCAGCCCGAACAGTCGGTGCAACGGTCATATACGATGTCAGGATATAAGGTATCGTCTATACCATCATCATCATCAATGCTAGCATCCAGACATTGATCCTCGCCATCGGTCAATTGTACATTTTGGAGTGCTGGTTCTTGCTTGATCAAGTATAAGGCTGCCCCAAGATCTTCATCGCTATCTGTAACGGCAAGGAATACCCTGAAAAGTCTCATATAGGCATCTATGTCATTTGAAGGATCATCGTCTGATAGCAACGAGATACACTCTTTGACACACCACCGGAGAGCATCTCTAGCGTTTGCGATATCCCCACGATCCCGGAGCCAACTCGACAGGACTAGACAAATATCGTCGAGTTCGATGTCTTCCTTTAGAATCAATGGCCGTTCACAGAAAGGGATATCGGCATCGTCAAGACACAAGGCAACTAGTTTGCTCATTGCCCGCATGCGAGGACCCTTGTCCCAGCTTTCGGAGGAGACTGAGAGAGAGACAACCTCATACCAACCCTGTACCGCTGCATCTCTTTGCCCCTTTTCAAATAAGACTGTCGCGATGAGGTATTTTATTTCCACGGGGTATTCAGATTCAGTATCGACTTTCTTTAGGACTCCGGCGATAACATCAAGATAATTTTGATCCGAGCGGGTTAAGGCATAGTGAATGACCCTATACATCATGAAGTGTCGCATAACGCAGCAGTCGAGGATGAAGCGCTCAAAATCCATAGATGTGCTTCTACTGCCGGCTGTGTCCTCGAAATGAGTGAAAGCAAGGTCAAACACGGACCGCAAACGGTGCGGTTGGTCCAATTCCAGGAAGATCTGGAAGAAGGGCAAAAATTCATTCTCGCGGTTCTCGCTTCTATCTTCCAGCAACAGATTCCAAGCTTCCTCTGTGGTTGCAATTGCATCATCTGTCAATTTGGCTTGATGTTTTATTTGTGCCTTGTTTAGCAAGCGTCTGACAGCATCATAGTCGCCGGCATCCCCATTACCCGCGAAGGTGCTCCATAGGGACTCTGATAATTCAAGATGCTTCAATGCCTCTTCGTGCATCGCAACCTCGGTGCATGCACGAGCCATGTCTCTGTGAATGACGAACAAAGACTGGTCACTGAATGTCGGGGTGCTATGGTTTCCGTCGAGCGAAATTTGAAAATGCTCAAGAGCTTGCGCGTAGCAATGTTTCATGAGCGACTGGGCGACTCGTGCATGCCACATAGGCGTCTGCTGAAGATTTTGTGACTGTGCAGGAATCAAGACGCTAGAAGGCTCTCTGTGATCCCACAATACGGCTGATACCTTTGATATTAGACCGTCCGCACCAGAGTCCTTTATCCCTCTTTTCATCGCATCATATACTGTCAAAATGGCAGGGGCGATGTCAGGCAATCCATCATCATGCTTGATTTCCTCTGGTTCTAGCCAGAGTTTGCTCCAGCGCGTTACTAGATGTGACAGGAGAACTGTGAAGGGACATGCATCACTTGCCACCGCTGATGCTCGGGCGTGATCCACAAAGCTCTGTTTTTGACCTGGAAGAAGCCAACGGAGTACAACATCGGCTCTCTCATTTGCAGTATCTTGATCTTGAGCATCCAGCCAGTATGAGCCGAGCTCTGATGGCTCACACGTTAGGTAGGGTGAGTATGCGGTAATCCCCCTAACAACCAGTTCATTAAGAAACCACTCCTTGTCTCTTTTATTGCTGAAGCCGAACAGACTCGCAAGCAAGATGGAAATATCTCCTCGTATATTTCCCGCCTTTTCGGGATTCGCACGGGTGAGATGTGATGGCAGGAAATTCTTAGCATATCCCCAGAGGACTCCCATGAATTTGTCGGAACAAGGCGTGTACCACTCGTTGATGGCATAGAGAAAAACATATAGGAAGTTCACTTCCACTTGATCGACGTTGACATGGATTAGTCCGGATTCTGCAGACGTCCGGAAAAATTCATAAAAGGAGCTATGCCGAAGTGTTACAACGCCACCTTCCTCGTCAGGGTCGTCTTCATCATCGTTGGCTCTGATATAAAACAGAGAGGAGTAAATCGTACGGATATCATCTTGAAGATTCATGAACTCCTCCTTCAGGGTGAGCTCGAGAATAATTTCAAGCTGCTGCACGGTCAGTGGCTTTTGAGCCAAAGCCACAAAGGAGAGCAAGATGTTCAACTGCGCAATCTGTGATGCAGGCTCTTCTCTCTCTGATATCTCATCATCAGAAAATTCTTCCCACTCGGACAGTTCTTTACTCAGCCGCTGCAGTTCTTCGCGAAGCATCGCGCTGATCCCTCGGGGCATTGTCCTAACCACTTTTCGGATCTGCTCTTTAGTTCGACAGCGCAAAACAGATTTGATGACGAGATTGGCCCATTCCCACATGCCCTCGGCTTCCTGGCTGATTTCGGTGATAGTTTCTTCGAGTAAATCGGGGTGCCCACGAAACAACTTGGTCTTCTGTAGTTTCTGCGAAACGTATTCGTGGAGATCGTCCTTATTCTCGTGATTACCGACTTCAATCTCCGGGATCCAGTTCAATGAATGCTCGTCGAGCATGGAGCGCACCGAGTCCCTACTAAGAAGCACAATTCGTAAAGGGAAGGTTCGGGTGATATCGTCTTCCGCTAAGAAGCCTTTCTCCAGCAGACTGAAAAGGACTTCTTGTTCCTCTGTTTCAGCCTCATCAATACCGTCAATCACCAAACATGCTGTGGTGGCCGATGGAACGTAAGTAAAATAGTTTAGGAAGAGTTTCTCCCAAAGGACGTAGTTGTTCCCTGGGTCTTCTTTCATGCAGAACTCCTCGGCGTGCACCGCAAAGCTGGATTGTTGCGTGGCCAGCTGCCATGCTATGGTTCGCAGGGCTTTGTTGAGGGATCGTAAATCGACATCGCTGTTCTTGTAAAAGAAAGAGGCAACCACAGGTGCCGGGGTTGCGGATGGCTCGTTTGAAAGTTCGGTTATGATTTTGGATGCCAGATGAGATTTGCCTACTCCAGGGCCGCCATGAAGCCAGAGGAGCGGTTGAGATCCTTGCCACCAGGACCGAAGCCTATCTTCGACCCAGCTGCCGGATCCCGGTATGCGATTCTGGGTGATGGACGAGAAGACCTGGCCAGATGCAGAAACTGGGTCTAATGATGCTTTGACCCTTTCCAGCCTCTCACGATCCTTTCTATGATCATCTCTATTGAGCAATTCCTCAGTATTTCTCAGGGCTTGGTGGGTGAGATTCAGCCCATGGGCAGAAACCATCATATGCTCCTGGCTTGTCAGCTCCTCTAGCTCACCTAGCAAAGAGCTAATTGACGTATCCTCAACCAATATATTCTTTGCCCACTTTGAAAGTCTCGCCTTGAGTGAACCTTGGCTCAAGAGCTTTTGTGACGCTGCGCAAACTCTCAGGGAATTAACCAGGACTTTCACGATAATTGTTTTCATCCCCTCACTAAGGGTGATCCCCTTGTATGAGTCCAGACGCAGAGCGAAGTTTCCCAGCTTATGAAATAGATCGAGGATGCCGTTAAATGCGTCACTAACTCTGCGCGCCGCCCGGACCAGAAGGAGCATCGCGCCCATGATCGATGATGCTGGAGGGAAAGCTGCAGCGACAGCACCAGCGATCAGATCACCCCAGCTTTCGAAGGGCGCCATAACCATTTGCATTGCATGTAAAAGGGGTCGCTTTTTCATTCGAAAATCTTCAAAGTGGTCTCTTTCAGATTCTAGCTGGTGAGACAAGTCCTCAGGCCCCTGTACTTTGGGGAAACGCTTCTCCATCAATGAAACTCCGGTTTCCCTGTCATAATCCACGCAGGCGCTATGCCAGAGGGACGGCAGACTGCTATCAGAAGGCTCCCTTGCAGTCACGACCATGGTGAGCAGGCGATTTAATTCTGGGAAATGGAAAAGAGGGAGTTGCACACATATGTTGTGCATATAAATCATATCTCGTGAATTCAGTCTTATTATCCCCCGCAATAGTGGGGGCTGATATTCCACGTTGCCAAGGTTCCTTATTAGGAATAGTTATGTGCAGTAAGCCCTCTAGGGTTGAGTCTCTCGTATACAACATGAGCTGTTGTCAGGACCTCATAAGAATTATCACGTGTAGAAGCCATTTCTGCTAGTAAGGTCCCTCCCCTATAGGTGGGTTTAAACTATGTAGCGACCTCTAAACTAACCTCTAGATATTAGAGTAACCATCAATTAACCGTTTATTTTTTATAGGCTGACGATCAACTTATTTACAACTATATATATAACTATATATATATGTCATGACACGCACTATATATAACGGAGCCTGGACTATCTGAGCGTAATGCTCAGATATAGTGGTCTTTTGGCCTAGTTTGTAACTCGCCAGTCCAGGGGCAGGTTGTAACAATATAACTATATAGTAAAATTAACATACTCAGATGCAAATTATAGTGGGGAATCAGGTCGTCACCCTTTTTTTGGCACAGTTTATTTATGTAATCGTTGATGTACAAAGGATACAAAATCCATAGTTACCAGATATGTTGTAGTTACATATTGAGAATACATGCTCCTACACTCCTACACTCCTGCACTTCTCTCATTTCACTTGGGCTGATCGCCCGGGTTCTCTTGTATGTAAGGCTGGGTATGAAGCTGAATTGCGGGGTGCTGAATCAATCCGTATTCCATCGAGCACATAGCATTGAGCGTTCCCCTCTCCAATATGTACATATAGTATGTCGGTATGAACGCCCAGACCGCTCGACCCATCTAGAGCGGGGTCTAAAGCGACCCACAAAGAAACAGATTCAAGAATTAACCAGTCGGATCGTATATAGTCGAAGGTCTACGAACCGTCTCGCCTTACGAACATTAGTCTCTCCTAAGCACGGTTAGAATCGTAAAAGGATTACCCCGCCATAGCCTTTCCTTTCCCCAACCACCTCCAGATATGAAGAATGGACCAGGTCTGTACCGGATACAACAAAAGGTAAAAACTCATTGTATCTACCTTGATATTTGATCTTAAAGTGTATGATTGTTTAAGAGGAGCGAAAAGAAGGAACACATTAAGCAATCCATGACCTTGAAGGGTGTGTTGGTGACCGACTTTCGTATATATGTCGTATATCAACAATATATTTTACTACACTGTTCCCCCAAAGGATGGAGACTATGGTGATCCTTCTTGCGGTAAGACGTCAAACTATACCCCGTACCCCAGCGCGTGACTGTAGCTGACGTACAACATTGTAGCTAGATTATAAGAGTACTGACTCTGTGAATGGCGAGAGTGTATTGAGTGGATAGCCGATCAAATATCAAATGTAACAAGTCACAAGTTAACCACGGGAAAGAGTGGGGTGGTAAAGACCCCTCTCGTCACTGGCACCCGTTTATTTTTCTTCTGCATCAATCATACTATGTTGCATGGAGTAGGTATATACTCTTGGGGTAAGCTAAAGTCCAACCCAGGCACCGTGCGCGTAGTCGATGTGGGCTAATCACCGCTTTGGCCGAAAAAGGCAGCTCGGACCAACAGGAAATTCGAGTACCTACGTACTAGTAAAAATGCTATTTCCCCAAGTCTTCTTCAAGAAACCTGAAATGCTTGTTTGATCTACATATGTATCTTTCAACCCCCTTTTCTTTTTTAATAAAAAGTGTTTTATTTAATTCAGCCTTTTCCCCAACTTGGTGATTGTATCTGCTGGTAACTACTTTGTTATCCACTAATGCATGGCTTGAACTATGACGTGAGAGTAATTAACTATAACTAGATGATATTCATTATGACTCACACCATAGACTTACACAAGTGCATATTCTAATGTTGCTTACCATTATGCTCCCTCAATCCTACATAAAGATACCCTATTATATTCCGGCTGAGCCGGAGATAGAAGCAGTGCCAAGTGTTTCTTTATATGCTGGAGGAGTATAATACTCCATCTGGACCTCCACGTGACCGGCGGAAATACGGGAATACGATAACAGGGTCTTCTCGGACTCGGCGCTCGGGAGCTCTTGAGTTTTCGCCCGGACGATCTATGTGGGTCTCCAATATCAAGTCCCTCATACCACGTTCAATCACATTCACAGTCGATTTAGGGCTTCTTCTTTCCTATATTTTGGCTTTCGATTGGTAATCAAAGCAAAAAACAAAAAGGCTTCTCGAAGGTGGAATATCGTTGAATATTCGTTTTCAGAACTTTGGAAGTCCTGGAACACTTCGAACGTTATGTAACACGGGAGAAAGTTCCGGGAGCCACGGGTGTTTCAACGGTTAAACGGGAGTTCATATATATAGTCCCATCCTTGGTTAGGGCTGTACCTCTATATACTTATTTTATATTTCATATCACACATCCCACGTTGGGGGATCGGCATGTACAGTGAATGTTGACTAACCGATTATCATGTAACCAGTAACTCCAAGATATACCCGTGTAGAATACGGAGTACAGTACCTTGTATTCAAACTATAGAAGTGGGCCTAGATCGCCGCTCCAATGACGGTGCTAATTTCCTTTAAGGAATCCGCGTCATCCGCGCCTGGGCATGTCGTAGTCGCATACGGAGTACAACGGCCTCGTATTTCCTCCGCCATAGCTGGATCTCGGAATTTGGAGAGAGAGCGGAAGGCCTTAGATGAGGATGGCAAAAAGTGAAGCAATTGGGAAGTATGGTTCTTGGTTATCCGAATGGAAAAAATTCTCCGGGTCTCTGCCGTCTCAAACCGATCAACCCATTGTTGCCGTGATAACCGGTCAGAGCTTCCACGTCTGGTGACGAAACCCACTATGTGGCTACGGACCATACATCTGTCCTGGCAAATGGTTTTTCGGATTGATCCTGGAAGAAGGGATTGACCGTGCTTATAAATCGCACCATATCCCCTGCAGGGCTGGGGCCGCTGGTTACTACACCTCCTCCTCTCCTCCCGGGCAACGATACCTAGTATATACCTTTTTTTTATATATATCGTTAATAGCTTGTATAAAGCCCATCCACCATGGCACAAATACTCTCGGAGGCACCGCAACATCCCGGACGCAGCGGACGAGGCTCGGAAAGTGATAGCTCGCTCGACGAGATCGCGCAGGAGAAGCAGAATGCGCTGGTGACAACACTCGGTCCTCATGGGAAGAACCTCGACAATTCTGCATCACCGAAGCGGTGGAAGAGTTTCTGGACGGCATTCCGACACCTCGCGCACCTAACCCCGAAACAAGTTGACGATTTCATGGCGTCATACGTCATCTATAACCTAGACTGGTCCGATGAAAAACAAATGACCGAGTCTCTGGGCGCCAATTACCAAGAGAAAGTCGGCGATTGCTTGAAATCCTATTACGGAGTCCTGAACCACCTTTGCGCACTGGGCGATGTCGAGAAAATGTACATCCCACCCTGGATGAACCCCAAATCCAACGTCCTGGAGAACCAGATCCTGTACGAGCGCTCAATTGCACAGGATATCGGGTTGGGGGCGGGAAAGAAGGTGCTGGATTTGGGTTGTGGCCGCGGGCGCGTCGCAGCCCACATGGCGCAACACACCGGCGCCCAGGTAACGGGTCTCAACATCGACCCGAACCAGGTCGAGCAGGCGACGACCTTTAACAAGGAGCGCGGACTCCAGAATAATTTCGTCACGCAAGATTTCAACGACCTCCCCCTGCCCTTCGCCGACGAGAGCTTCGATGCATTTTACCAGATTCAAGCAATGAGTCTGTGCAAGGATCTACCCGCCTTGTTCCGCGAGATCTTCCGTGTCGTCAAGCCAGGCTCGAAGATCTCCCTGTTGGACTGGGTTAGCTTGCCGGCTTACGACGCTAGTAATCCGGAACACGCGGAGCTCATGCGTCGCGTCAAGCCTCTCATTGGTGCTGTCGGTACACCCACGCCGGAAAGTCTTGAGGCGGCGTTGAAGGAAGCTGGGTTTGAGGTTGTGCGGTCGGAGAACGCTAGTATCGATGGTCTCCAGGCCCCGCTTATCGATACCGTCGATGTATACTTCCGCACCCTGCGCCAAGCAATCCTGGCACTGGTCAAGGTGCATGTGCTGCCACGACACTTCAAGACCCTGATTAACCGTCTTTGTTTAGATGGTCAGGCTTTTGTTAAAATGGATCGCATGCGTTTGGCTACGACGAGTTATAGTATCATTGCGCAGAAGCCCAAGGCTTAGGCTTCACAAGGTTCCTCAGCGGGGCGAAATATGTGAAGCAGTTGGACGGAAGTACTTGATTTCTTGATATCAGCCCTCGGGACTATGTGGATATCAAGTCGGATCAATATCCAGACCACATCCTCCTTCCACCTCCACGTCATCGCCCCTCACGAAACAATACATACCCTGTACATTTATAATCAACGGATTAGAAGGTTGTCGGATTTGATGCATGGGGAGTTTCGGTTATCTATTTCGGTTATTTTATTCTTTGTTTATAGTGGTTTCTTGAGCAATGAGTTCCATGAAGGGAGTTTAGTTCAACTGCATATACATCGATCTGATTCACAATACATAATTTATTCAAATATATCTTGCTTCTGAATGACTATCTAATATAAAGAAGCAGTAAAAAAAGCAAATATAAAAAATAAACAAACACGAGAACATAAAGTAAGTAAGTTTAAAGAGTCCCCAAAAAATGCAAAAAAATGCAAAAAGAAAAAAAGAAAGGTCGTGCCCGGGATCGAACCGGGATTGCTGGTATCAGAAACCAGAGTGATGAGCCATTACACTACACAACCGAAATTTTCGTTGTACGGTATTCGAATGTTGACCCTATAAACCTAAGTGTGAGACTAAATTACAAGTTTACTTTTACAAGAGACTACTTTTTATGCTGTAAGGTACTGCACCATTCCCACTAGTCCCTATTAGGAGAATTCCATACACCCTGGTATCCCCCTAGAATCTGGGAAATGTTCAAGTCTGCTTTGAGCTGCATCTGCATGGCAGCGTAAACTCAGCACATCTTATCTGCACTGTTCCAACCTACTCCTTTCCCCTCTCCCCAACCACCCCCCCGTGACCGCGGGGCCAGTCCCTCCATAATCTTCAGGCGCCCCGTAGATCCCATCCCGGCTTTTTCTCCCCCACAACAATCATATCTCCAATCTACCAGTACTTCATGTCTCCTTTACCGTCTTCTGTCACAGCGCTGTCTGCGCCGGGTAAGGTTCTTTTAACCGGTGGCTACCTCGTTCTAGACCGCGGGTACACGGGTACCGTGTTTGCGCTTGATGCCCGCATTCATGTTATTGTCCAGCAGCTGAGGAGGGGTCACCGCCGTGGGGCATCAGGATCTGGGCCCGTCGGTGGTGCCGAGGCACCGTCTAATTCGGGCGCCGAGGACCAGGATGGCCAGGATACCGTTGTTGTGCGTTCCCCGCAGTTCCTCAATGCGGTGTGGGAATATGGTGTACAGCGATGTGGGAATGGTGGGGGTGTCAAGGTCATCCAGAAGGGAGATGGGTATGCTGGGCTGTTGCTATTTCTTTTCGCGAAGACAATTGACTAAAATTACCTTACATTTCTTTTTAGACCGCGAAACCCCTTTGTCGAGACCTCTCTCAGCTATGCATTGACTTATATCAGCTACGTTGCCGACTCTAAGGACTTCGGGTCCCTGTCTGTCACCATCATGGCTGACAGCGACTACTACTCGGAAACCGCTGCCTCTAGAGGCCCGACATCGCAGGGACGTGGTGGGCGCTTTGTCAATTTCGGAGTTCCTCTTTTCGAAGCCCACAAGACAGGATTAGGTTCCTCGGCCGCCCTCGTTACTGCGCTTGTCTCCGCCTTGGTCATTCACCGTACCATGCAGCCGGAGGACCTCGGTGCTGGTCGGGACAAACTCCACAACCTCGCTCAAGCGGCCCACTGCGCAGCCCAGGGTAAGGTCGGATCTGGATTCGACGTTGCTAGCGCTGTCTACGGCTCGTGCCTCTACCGACGATTCTCGCCGTCAATTTTGGAGTCTCTCGGCGATGTAGGCTCGGCTGGTTTCGAGGAGCGCCTCTTCCCCATCGTGGAGGACTCCGATCCCGAGCATCCATGGGACACCGAGTGTGTTGACTTTGGCATGCAGCTCCCTCGTGGGATGCAGCTGGTTCTGTGCGACGTGGACTGTGGTTCCCAGACACCCTCGATGGTCAAGAAGGTTCTCGAATGGCGAAATAACAACCGCAAGGAAGCCGATATTCTCTGGGCTAGTCTCCAGAATAACAACGAGCGACTGCGTCAAGAGCTCAAGCGCCAGGCTCAACACCCCGATGCGAACCCCGAAGGCGACTTTTCTGATATTCGCACCCTTATTCAGCGAACACGTCAGCATATTCGCACATTGACCCGCCGGACGGGCGTCCCCATTGAACCAAGTGTGCAGACCGAGCTGTTAGACAGTGTTTCAGAGATCGAAGGGGTCATTGGCGGTGTCGTCCCGGGGGCTGGAGGATACGATGCCATCGCGCTCCTGATCCAGGATGACTCCACTGTAATTGCGCGTCTGAGAGAGCATCTTGCGAACTGGACGAGCTCGATCGAGGATGACTTTGGAGGCAAGATCGGCAACGTACGACTGCTTGGCGTGCAGCATGGATCTGAAGGTGCGAAAAACGAAATGCTGGAGCAATATGCCGGTTGGGTCTAGGTCTAGGTTGCTCTCTGATTTTGAAACAAGGCAACCAGTGTCCCAGCCCACCATGACTTATCAACAACGTGTTTCGGCTACCAGCTTAGCCTCCCCCTATTGCATCCTGGGCTGGACCCTCCAGAAAATACACAGGCCTGTAGGATAACTAATTGCACGGAAATCACGGGCTGAAACATCGACTTTGACTCGGATGTGTTTTCTATCTTTTACCTCCTCGTACTCGTGCGCTCCATCAGTACCCACCTATCTGCGTCTCTGTCTTCAGGCTTATCCCCCCCTGCATATGCACCACAAGTCCTATGCTTGGCCGAGGGTTGCCCGTTCCTTTTTCTTTTCTTTTTCCCGACGTCCCCCTGTGTGCGACCATGGTCTGTTTGCCAGGTGTTTCAATATGGACTGGACTGCTCTCAAGGGAACGAACTGCGCACGTTGATATTTTTCAGCTTCATGATACCTAGCATATGAGATATTGAATACACATAGCACATAGAATCCACTTGCATTTCATGATGACAGTGAACTAATGAAACAGTGATAACTGCATGTTTACTCGGTATTATAGTCATGAGATCCCTCCCAATCGTTGTACAGAGGGTACAGAGCTACACATGTGGAGAAAGTGACCTGTCTATTGTATGCAACTATCCCGAGATGTTCAGATCCACATACGGAGTACTCCGTACAAACAAGACTTCTCTTGCCCTAACTAATTTCCCCGGATCGTCATATCTCCAATTAATCTTCCTTATCGACATTTATACTAATACTCAATTCAAGTAGTAGACGGCAAGTAGGCTGTAAGAAACGGCCGCAAAGCAGGCCGTTCTTGGCCGTCGATTTGCAGTATGCCACCGACACATAACTCTCTCATTGTTTCATATTGCTAGCAGCAATTTAGATCCACTAATGTTGTAGTTATTAATTGAAGCCTATAGATGCTTAAAGATATCTGAAGATCTAGATTATAATGTTATGAAATTAATGCCTTCTAAAATGGGCATAGGGACTTCGAAGTAAATTGAATCTGAAGTGAATATGAAGTGAATCTGAAGAAAATTGGTAGATTTCTTGGCCGCTAGTTTAGGGGTGGGTGAATCTTTATAGGATAGACTGGTCAGCTTCTTTGGCGCATGTTCTTCCGTTATACCGTGAGGCGCCATTCAAGGTATAATCGTCTGGATCAATCCCCATATTAAGTAACTTCGTGACGAGTTTGCTTGAGAATGACAGCGTGACTCGCTCATGAGCTTTTGAGGGTATTATTCGAATAACCCCTTGCTGGCGCTGTGTGTCGAGTGTCAATCTATAGGGAACCTCAAGGGGGTTTCGATCTCCAGCTAATAGCTCCTGTAGAGGTTGGGATATGTTCTTCACGGTGATAAACTGGTTCGAGTCGGAGTTAATTTGTCGGCATACACCGTTTGCTGTTTCTCGAAGGACAGTAATAGAAGAGGCAGACAACACCACAGCACCCGGGATTTCGAATGGCAGGTACGAATAACTGACCCTCGCTGCTTCCAGTTGCGAGGCTCGAGACGCAACGTCTGACTCGGACCTGTCGATAGACTTCGCCGAGTCGACATACTTTGTAGCTAGGGGGAGATAGCATGTTGACTGAACGGGGGCGTGTGGGGAAGAGGAGGCAGAAGAAGTGAAGTAGAAGATTACTTGTACTCCGTACTGATGGACCGTTATCGATAAGATGCACGGTCAGCAGACGGTGACCCGTTTGCCGTTGTAGAATCGTAGAATACTAAGAATACTATTTTTTATAGTATTATTAAAGTATTAAAGTATTAAATAGTTAACTAAAGTACTAAAGTACTAAATTATTAAACAGGTTTTTTTTTTTTTTTTTTTTTTTTCCTTTGACTCAAAAATAGGGGAAAAAGAAGGGAAAATGATTTGATAGTTTCAAGGTCGTTCAACCAGAAACCAGACAAGAAGTCTGTTAGGCTTGCAGATCCCTTTTTGCCTTCTTTCTTCCCTCTTCAACCTATTCAAATACAATCGAATATCTATTTGGGAGAGAGGGGGTTTACATACGGAGTATATGTACAGCCATTCCATTCCATCCATTCTATCCATTCCATCCACACTAGTTGAGGCATTATCCTGCGCTTCCCGCTTAGTCTTGTCTTGACTCCTCACATTCACATCTCTCCCTCTATCTCCCATTCCAACTCTCACGGAATACCCTTCTTTTCCAAATCCCCCGTTGACAGCCCCTTTCCAACGGGGAAAAGTCAATCCTTACCTGCCATCGGGGCATCTCAAAATGTCTACAACACTTCACCCGGAGTCGGGGTCAACCTCCAACAGAGATATCAACCAACCCCCAATCACAGCATCTCCGCAGGATCAACAGACCACGGCCCCAACCATAGAGCTCCAACCCCAATCAGATCTTGTCGCTGATACGTCCATCCCATCTGTCCATGATCAACCACCCGCGAACCAGAGCCACCCCGCAACTGGCTCAAGTGGCGAAACTGAATCCGCCCCCCGTCATAACATCACCTACAACCACCAACCCTCTTCAAAACAACGCACCCGCTGTCGTGCTGGCACATACCACTACACCGCCTTCAATGGAATCCGAAGAGCCAAAAACCGCGCCCGAGACCTCAACAGAGCACTCCGATGACGGCTCTGGGAAGGAACTCGAGGAGGATGCTGATGCTGGTCCGTCGCTGGTAATTACCCTGCTGTTGACGACGGGGTCGCGACACCCTTTCACTATCGATGGGAAATATCTAAAGAAGCGATCGGTGAATGTTGAGAACTACGATCCGTTCTTGATGAGCGTTTACACCCTTAAGGAGTTGATCTGGCGCGAATGGAGATCTGGTAAGAGTTCACCCTCGATTTAGACCTCCACATGGGCATCGGATGGGCAGAATACGTCTTAATCTGTGATGTCATGGAATGAGAATAGTTAAGCTAACGCCGTTGATGCAGACTGGGAAACCCGACCATCGTCACCGAGCTCTATCCGTCTAATTTCGTTCGGGAAGTTGTTGGATGATAAGTCGCCTGTTTCTGGTACGTTTTTGTCACTAATGAATGGTTGCTATGGTTGTAGACTTTGACACTAACAACCCTACTAGACTCCAAATTCAGCAAGGAACATCCAAACGTTGTCCATATGACCGTCAAGCCGCAAGAAGTCGTCGACGAGGAAGACGCAAAGGGAGCAAAGGCACAGTACAGCCGGGAGCGCGAAGCCAGCGAGCGCAGTCCCGGATGTCGATGCGTGATTCTATAACTCGCTGCCCCAGCTAGGGGTCTCAGGTGTGAACGGCCTGCTCCCGGCAATGATGTTGTCCGTTGCGTACATCCTTTTACCATGATACCTACCTTTTCTTCCTTGCCCGTCCTCCGCCAACCCTTCATTCCCTATCTACCTGCCATTGCAGCGATACGCCTAATTCTGCCTGGATGCAGGTTCAACATCCCTGTTTTGCCGAGCTAACATGGGCGCTCTGGAAGCGGCGTGTGGACATTTCTTTCCTCTGACTGGACCTACATCCTGGGACTATGGGTTTCGACTTATTCGTCTTATTTCTGTGCCAGGTCTGGGCAGTCCCCTTGTTCGGTCATCGCCATATCGTCTGCATGCGGGCCTGATTCATCTATCCATGCATCTTCTCTGCTGGAGTGCTCCGGGTTTCTTTTCGACTGTGTCTTTAGAGGGCTCGATCTGAAATTCGTTCTTTGCTTTTCGCATTGCTGTCACCATTATTCTTACCCCGATTTCTCGATATATACCCCCTCCAATCCGACTTTCCTTTTCTGTGTTCTCTTTATCATTTCCTCTGTATTGTTCCTTTCCTCATGGACTTTCGTGTACTTACGACTTTGACCCGTTGCTCTTTCTTTGCTCTTTCCCTCTTTTCCTTGCGTTTCATTGCCTTTGCTTGCTTTTATAACGGCCTAGGGTGATTACTAGTAGTGTACAGGGTGTTTTTGGAGAAAGCCCCGAGGTTGATATATTTCTTTGTCATATATTAAATAACTTCTAAAGCGCCTATATATTCCCGCGGTCTTCGTTAGAATTGCTAGTCAAGCACTTGAGGTTGACGAACAATTTAGGGTAGCATACTAGTAGTTCATTTATACCGCGGAACCAACCCTCTTACATATATCACGGCTGGTGGCGGATTTTGGAGTTCTGCTTGGTAGAAATAGACCATGGATTGATTCAATATATCGAGAGTACCGCACTGTCTTAATAACAGACAGACAGACACATCAGAATGCATCAAGCCCAGTGATCTATCATTCTATTTGACGACATAAGGGTAGGAGTATGACGAGGGACGTAAGAGGAGAATAATAGAACACATCGACATAGAAAAGCAGAAAAACAAAAGAACACCATATCATCAAAGCCATTAGAAATCCATCTTGAGCCTCTTCTCCATCTCATCATGGAAAGCAGGTGGCTCACGGAGGTCATCACCTGAAGCAACCAAGTTAGCCAAAACACATCCAACACCCCTAATATAAGAACGCAACATACCATGGTAAATATCCTCCCACTGAACCTCACTATCCCGACCTCCAATAACAAGAATATCCTCATGAACATTCCCGCCCCGCACACCGCCAAGAACAGCAGGCCGGAAAGTCCCATCCCGAACGATCTTCAGCTCCATCCCGCGACGAACGGGCTCCGCAATACCATACGCCCGACGCAGTCCCTCCATCTTCATGGCGTCCTGTGTAGCCCGCCACGCGAGGAGTCGGGCCTCGAGCGGGTGCGTAGATGACGGAACCTCGCTGCTGGAGTTCGTGGACGACCCGTGCGCGGTAGCGGTCTGCGTGAGCTTGTTGCGGAGAGTATCCGGGAGACCTGGGGCGGAGGGTGCACCCTTAGATGGGCGGGGTGCTTGGAGGCTTGCTTGTTGGCGGGTTGTGAGATTGCTCGTTTGTGTTGCGTTGCCGCTTGGGGGGGCGATGCGGAGGGACTGGGGGTTTTTTGTTAGTTTTGTGTTTTGAAATTGGGGCTGAGATAAATTGCGGATTTCAAGGATGGGAGTTTAGGGATAAGAGATGGTGGTTCTAGATGCTTTGCTTATGGGCTGGACTCCAGGGTGAGGTCCCGGGTTCCGTAGCTTGATAACGTACCATGATGACGGATGGATAATGCTAGGATTTCAAGATCAAGGGTCGAAATCACAGATTGGATAATTCTAGACGTGTATTCAAAGCTCAGAAAGGAGATAGAAAAGTAGAAACAAGAGCCAAAGGGAGGGATGCAAGATGACAAGCACCGATGATGCTTCAGGCAGAGAGAAGCAGCGCGGCCAGCTCCTACGACAGACGAGAGAAACCAACAACGCAACCACCCCCCCAACCATCAAATCACGTGCCCTCCACTTCCGCCGGACCAACCCAATTCTATCGCGAGATTCTTCAGCGAAAGGGGATCCAAATCGCACATCTCACACCACCCAACATGACCCAATTATTCTCCCCAATAGCCCTTCGGGCTCTACGGACTCTCATCCACCGTCCTGCGGTCTCATCGCCCCTCTGCCGCACAATCACCACATCACCCGCTATCTCCTTCGCCGCGAAACAATCCCCCATCACCTCCCGCCTCAACTCCCACCCCGTCTTCCGTACAGCTGCTGCTGGCTTCGCTGCCGTGCCGAAGCGGCAATTCTCTAGCTCGCCGATCATCCGCGCTACGTACAACCAGGTCCGTCGCGGTATTCGGACTGGACAGCAGGCTCGTCGTGGTGGATCGCCTGCGCTGAAGGGTACGCCTGGGTTGAAGGGTGTTTGTCTTAAGACTGGTGTCACTAAGCCTAAGAAGCCTAACTCCGGTGAGAGGAAGGTGGCAAGAGTGCGGTTGAGTTCCGGGAAGGTGATTACTGCTTATATTCCTGGTGAAGGTAAGATTTACTTGCAATTGGATTGGTGTAGGGAAGAGGATCCTATGGATTCTGTTTCCGGAGCTGGATACGGGGATTTTTTGGCTAATTTTCTTGTACAGGCCACAATATCCAGCAGCATAGTGTTGTTCAGGTCCGTGGTGGACGTGCTCAGGATTGTCCTGGTGTGAAATATACCCTTGTTCGTGGTGCGATGGATTTGGTAAGTCCTTTTCTTTTTGGTTGTGGTTCTACATACCCACTTTCGGAGTGTATTTCTAGATCTTTTACTGATTGTATGTTACTAGGGTGGTGTTGGAAGCCGTATGACGAGTCGCTCGAAGTACGGTGCGAAGAAGCCGAAGACCAACTAAAATGGATTTGGGGATACAGGTTGATTGTGGTTGACCTGCTGTGAGATTATACAATTTTGGCCTTGTTTGAGCAGCTGCCGTATATGAGGTAGCCTCATGGGGCTACTTGGATTTTGCTTCTTGTGCTCTTCGCTGAGCAACTTCTGTTCATATTTGCATGTAACACTACGGATTGCGTCTGTTTATTATCATATTATCTCTTTCGATATTCAAGCCCTTTAAAGTCAACTGTGTCGGTGTCTTTGAAATTTTAAAGGTATAGAAAATGGTTCCCTGGAATATCACTTTACTCCGGACCCATGCAACAAAACAGAAACAAGGACGAACGCTCGAAAATCAATAGTAACACATGTCAGACATCGAAGTAAAACCCCTTGAAGGTAACGCGATAACGGGAATCAAAGTGAAACAGTTAAAAGGTAAACGTGCAGGTTTTTACCTAAGCGTGGTAAAATCAATAGCATATTGCTTCATCCAGGTGAGATACCCACCACAAGCCAGAGCAGTGGGCAAAGTGCACCGGATTTTACCGAGGTTTTGTAGTTGCCGCGTGAATGGGTGACACTGTCAGCCTCCAAAAATGCGCAGCGCTTCATATCCAGACGAGACAACCGACCCGCGCATTGTCGCCAATAAGGAAACGGCTAGGCCATCCTTGAATAGACCCAGAGGGACCATGGACAAGATGAGTAAATCAGTCGTATTTCGTGTCCCATCCGTTCGGCTTCTCCATCTTGGTGATATCGAACCAATGCTTGGTGCCTGTATGACAATTAGTTTTGTACCAAAGGTATAGATCGGTGGGGTATAGACATACAAGAGTAATCCTTCCAGTCGAAGTTATCCTTCGGTTGGCAGGAACATCTCAAGTCGAGGCGTTTCTTTTCCTCCGAGGGGCAATGTGTGAATGGGACATGGTAGTAGGCGATGTCATCCCAGAAGTGGATTTCCTCTTTCTTTAACATCATAGAAGCGGCAATGGAGTGAACCGGTGCGTCGCCCCATCGCTCATAGAAGAAACCACCGTCCTTGTCCAGAGAAGTGAAATAGTCAATATATGCGTCGGATCGCAGCCACTCCAAGCTGCCAATTTCAAAGTTGGACCACTAACAGAAAGGTTAGAGAGGTTGAAGTTTAACCGAGTTTGAAGTACTTACGAAATGGCAGTTGTTGTAGGTTTCTCCACCGTCATTGCTGATGAATTCCATGGCATTTCCCTCGGAGATATGCTCAGGGTGACTACCTGTGAACTTCTTCACACTATCCCACAGGGTAGGAATGGTCGCTGCATACTCATACAGACTGATGACAAAGCTGTACTTCTTGTTGTTCTCCTTCATGAAGCGGAACGGATCAGAGTCGACATCACAGTAGAGCTCAATGCTAGGCTCAACGCGCCAGTAGTACTCGAAGTTCATCATGAGCGGGTGGCGGAAGAAGAACCCGGACTCGTAACGGCACATATGGCGGTAACTCTCCGAGCCGCCGTAAATAATCTTCTTGCGGTCCATTTCCTGTCGCGCTTCTTTGGCCTTGTCCTGGTCGATCCACTCTGGGTATGACCAGTGTTCTTCGGGGATGACACCATAATGAGTTTTGCCGGAGACCAGTGCGGTGGTCAATTTCTTGAACTCGTCATCGAACTCTTTGTCGTTCAGGAATACCCAATCATAGTTGTAGTTGTGGTTGAAACGGTCTTCGACTGTTCGAATGGACTTGACCATGTCCCAAAGGTCGGAATTGCGCGCGAGGGTGACAAAGGTGGCATTTACACGTTCGCCGCGGTGTGAACCGACAACTTGCGGTTTTTGTGACTTGACTGAGTCGTATGTGGGGGTCTTGGGTGTAGGAGTGGTTAACCCGGTGGTAGGCATCGGGATGGAGGATTTTGAGACGACGAAGAAGAGCGCCAATGCCTACTTAACGTTAGCAACGGATATTCGTGAGCATAAAAGAGAGACTCACCACGATGGCAAAGACTAGATAGCGCGCATATCGAATAGTGATAG